TAAATATTTTTTGAATGCCTTAGACATCCTAGGGTGACCTAACCCTATTTTAGGTGGCGACTCCAAAAATAAATAATTTACAATAGTCACTCCGTCGCATTAAGCCCCTTTGCTTACTTATAAGTGTTTAATATAACCCTTATATAAAGGGTTGGAAAAATCTGGGCGCGACCGCTAGTTTAGGTTCGAAGCCTAGTTGACTTTTGTTAATAAGCTCTTTGGGCTATCTTTACACCTAATACTCTAAAACCGTCTGGTTGGGAGTCATTAGCCTAAAGCTCGTTACATGCATGGGTCATCTAGAAAGCTTAATGGACTTAAACATTGCACAGCTTGCCATCTTTGAAAAAAAAAAAAAAAATTGCATACATAAGTAAAGTCATGAATTCATTCCTTGGGTACTCTAACTTGGAAGGGAATATTAATGAGTTGAAGCTATTGTGATGTATAATATAAGGATAAAAGGGTAAAGCACATAATTGGATGCTAGTTCACTTCAAAAGGAAACTAGGGATTAATTGCTATTGGAAATATGGGGAATTGAAATTTGTGTGAGGACCATAGTATTAGTGCATGTAATAAGAGGTTTGGGATTGCTTGGGAATATTATTCTTTCTTATACTTAGGATGGGGTTTCTCTCGCTTTTGGCATAGCGGGCCCCCAGTGGGAGGCTTGCACGATGGGCTATTAGCTCAGTGGTAGAGTATGCCCCTGATAATTGTGTTGTTGTGCCTGGGCTAACATAATAACTGACTTGATAATGATGTGTATGCAATCGTTTCTAATTCCATGGAAGTAATTGAGCTAAGTGCAATGTGTGCACAATTTTGGAAGTTTGTGGGTATCATTTTTGGAAACTCTCACGAGGCTATACTCGTCCACTAGGGTAACCTAGGGGTTTAAAGCCTTATTGAATATGGTAAATGCAATCGAAAGTAGCTTGCGAAAGTGACACATCTTTAGTTAGGAGTCAGTTAAAGTAGCAATTTTGTAAACTAATCTCTTTTTGCTTTTATTTGCTAGAGGACTAGCGAAAACTTGTTTGGGGTAATTTGATAAGTGCACAAAGCTAGCTATTTTATATTCAATAATAAATGATTAATTAGTAATTTCTATTAAATAAATATGTTTATCCCTGCTTTTCATGTTTTATAGGGTCTGATTTCTACATGAAAAGAATAGAGACAAAAATAGCAAAAATGTGAGATTACACTATCATTCAAAGTCAAATTCAAAATTGGCTTTTCCATTAAATCAGTAAAAATCAAGACACATTGGAAAGCACATTAAGTCAAAGATATCAAGCCAAATTCGAAAACAACAAGATTTTAGGAAGATTTTATATATTTTTATTTTATTTTATTTTCACTTTTGTAATTAGAATTTTTTCCTTTAATAGTTCCATTCTAAACTTTATAAATAGGGACATATGTAGAGGATGTTTGATATGGATTTAGTGAGGAGAGAATAGACTTAAAGTTTTGCATCTTTCATGTAATTCTTTCTTTTATTCAATGAAAAATGTTTTTATTTTGTTTTCTTATTAGTATGCTAGCTTAAGCACCTCATCTTGAGGGAATGATGAAGCTAGTTAACATGTAATTGAATTTCTTGTTTTAATTTTTCATGTATTTTATTCTTCTATTTTGTGCTATTTGATTGAAAAAAAAAAAAAAAAAAAAAAATTAGAGTGCAAATTCTTCGTATTTGCCAATTAATGGTAATTCGGAAAATGTCTACTTCTATTTACTAATTATTTACCGGATTAAATAAAAAAATGTTCTCTCTTATATAAGCCTTATAAAAGGAAAATTGACAAGAATAAAAGAAATTTGTTTATCTGGATATGGTGGATTCTCCTCCCTCGACACTTTTCCATTATTTGAAAGAAAAAAAATATTATTTAACCTTATTTTTATTTGTTTTATTTTATTTTCATTATTCAAATATTCAAAAATTGCTTTAATTTTTTTTTTTTCTCCATCCCTTTTAATTGATGTTTTGAATTTATGTTCGGAATCTAACTTGAGAGTGGTTTGATCCTACTTATTACTATATTATTTATATTAAGTATTTGTAGGTTTATATTATTTTTGCACAAAGTGTGGAAGAACATTGACAAATTATCCATAAATCTACACTCATCATTCGTGTATGCAACCAGTCCCACTGGCCAAAATTTATTTGCACAACCAGTTACATTAAGCGCGACCGGTTACGTTTAGGAAGTTAGAAAATTTAAAAAATATCTGAGTGCCTAAACCATAAAATTCAAAAGTGTCCTCACACACACACACACACACACACACACACACACTTACCTATATAATGTATTGTTCTCATCATCACGGAGTGTGCCAAAGTGTAGAAACGTTCCATCTTCAATTCCGCATCCGATCTCAAATCTTGAAAATTAAATTAAAAATTTACAACTCGATCGAACTTGTTTTGAAAATGAAATTTGTTAATTACAAAATTTATATCTCATAAGCCTTTCCACTTGCACGCATCGGATTCATTTGGAAGAAGCTGCTAAACCCTCCTATGAGTTGCAACATAGGTTAAATCCAAATATGAAGGAAGTAGTGATGAATGAGGTCATTTCAATTTACAACACATATTTACTAATTTTATTTTATTTTATAAAAGGGCATTATAATAAAATTATACCAACTAATAGCTCTGTTAATGGTCCCTTATTAACTAGGGAGGTCCGTGTTACAAATTTTGGTTTTAAAGAGATGTCAAAATAATTTTTAAAATCATAGAGTGTCCTTGAATTATCAAAAAGATCGTAAATAGTTAGTGTAGTTTATTCAAATAGGTAATATCTATTCATTTCGGATATGGTCCAGCGGTTTATTCGATAGGCTTTGGAGCTTAGCAAACCCAAGCTCTAGGGTTTGAGTCCTGCTGGGTGTTTTTTGTGGCTAGCGTCCGTTATCCCTATAGTGACTTACTTGACTCGGGTGAGGAGGCGCCCCTCCGGGTCCTCGGGGATTAATTGGGTTGTTGAGGGGCCTTAAATGTTCGTGCCATCCCGGACACCCGGGATTAAAAAAGAAAAAAAGAAAAAAGTAATATATATTCCTAAATATTAAGGCATGAATCTCTATAATCAAGAGACATTTAATTAATTTCTAATAAATAAACTTGTGTTTTTTTTAATAAGTTGTAAATATAAACTTAAGAAAATGACTTTTTATTTGAAGAATAATTGATTCTATCTTACAATTTCATGCCAAATTACCTATGAACAAGAATTATTGAAATATTTTGTTTAGTTATAACACCACAATCAACACTTGTTTAACCCATATTTAATATATATATATATATATATATATTTCTGAGAATACTCAATTCAATTGACCAATTATGCCAAGGAAAAATAAAAAAGTCAGCAATTTCCGACGTGGCAGGTTATTACTGGTTGAAGCGATGCGGAATGGTGGAGTGCCACAAAAGTTAAATAGGACCCAATTGCACGACAAACATCCCCACAACAAGGGTAAAGTGCAAATAACCCCCCTGAACTATGGGGAAATTTGCAACTAACCCCCTGAACTACCAAAAATGCAAAAAACCCCTCAAACTATACAAAAAAGTTGCAGATCACCCCATCCGGTGACCGGCCGTCCAAAAATGAGCGCGTGATTCACACGCGACAGACAAACTAATTTTTTTGGACAATAATGCCCTTCTATATATGAAAATACCAAATTATCCTATAACCACCACCACCGTCGTCTACGACCACCACCACCTTCTGCAACCACCAACATAACCACCACCACCGTCCGCAACCACCAACATAACCACCACGAAACCCTCCTGAACTCATGCCAAAACACACCGTTAAACGAAATCAAACCCACCACCATCACTACCACCTCCATCGGCATCTCAACGGCACACCACCAAACCCAATCGAACCAGTACACAAACCCACAGCCACCACCCCAATCCCGCCACCACCATCACCCGTCATCACCAACCACAGCCTAACCTTCTCTCCATCAAACCCATCACACACCGTGAAACCAAACCCCCACTAACCCACTGCCATCACCCCCTTCAATCACAATCTCTGGTTCTCCCTCGGGAACGAAGGCGGTATGGAACTGCTACTCGGTGGCGTCGAATTCCGGTCTGATAGCGGAGCACTAGTATGGGCGGCGATGGATCCGTATGCGAGCAACGAAGCTTTCAATTGCAGCAACGGCGATCTGTTCAAGTGGAAGCACTTGTGGAGAATGATTGCGGAGTAATTTGGGGTCGATGAAAACGAGAAGTGGGTGACCGTCCCGATCGGAACAGGGAGGTTGGTGGATGAGGCGAAGCTCGGCCGCTGTGCAGCTAAGCCGCAACCAGCCCATCGCCGCGAGTTAACCATGGCCGAACCAGCCCATTGCCGTTCAGCCCACCTTGCTCGCCGGTCCTCTCCACCATCCGAGCTCGTTCCAGCTGTCACCGCAAGAGACGGTGGCGGGGCAGGCGCAGGAGATGACGGCAGCGAGATCCCAGCGGCGACGAGGATGATTTGGGTTTTGACGCGTCGACTCCGCATCGTCACCATAATCGCCGACTTACCTCCTCTTCCGTCACCATAATCGCCGCCGCCGCCACCATCTTTTTCCTTCATTTTCTTCATGATTCAATCTCCAGCCTGATGCTTCTCTCTCTCTTCAATCTCCAATGTTATATATATATATATAAACACATATATATAAATTCAGAAACACACCAGAAATATATATATATATATATATATATATATATATATATATATGTTTATTTATTATTTTATTTCTTTATATATATATATATAATAATAAGGGCAATTCAGACTTTTTATTTTTCCGGTTAAGTCGGTCACCGGAATGGACTGAAATACAACAAATTCATAGTTTAGGGGGTTTTTTTTAGTTTAGGGGGGTTAGTTGCAATTTGTCAATAGTACAGGGGGGTTATTTGCACTTTACCCCCACAACAATAAAAAGGGTGGGATGGAGTCGATAGACTCTTCGAAGAGCCGAGAGAAGAAGACCCTGGAAGAGCTCCCATGGCTTACGTCGAAAGAGGTACATTCTCTCTCTACATTCAGCCTGATTTTCTATCTCTACAATTCAGTCTGATTTTCTATCTCAAGAACTGTCTGTATGATCTCGATATCTATCGCTCTTTACATGCTCTGGATTCTTTGAAATTAGTGTTTCATCTCGTTCGATTGTTCAATATCTTTTAGGGATTTCTCTACATTATTGTTTGAAAACGGTTGTTATTGCAATCACTTTTTGAATTTTCAATCGCTAATTGTTGTTGTAATTGAGATTTTGTGCTGAGTGGTCCTAAGCTCCTGAATTTTTTTGGTTCTACTTACGATTTTTATTGTAGTATTTATTGGGATTCATTTTACTTAATTGAATTCTATTAGTCTTGATTGTCGTTCTTAAATTGAGGGATGGGTTAATTATTTTCCTGCTAATTTTAAAATTGTAAGAAATGGGTCACAAACTCACAATGATTCAAAATCAGATTTAATATTACATTGTTTCATCCAAGTAAATATATATATATATATTTTTATTTGGTTGTAGTTACATATACGGTATTTTTGGGTTAAAACTGTAGTCTCAGAAATTAGTGGCCCAATCTTGATTTACACCTGATGGGCTCAACAGAAGCTTCTGATACCAATATGTTGGGCAGCAACGAAACCTATGACACCAATCTGTTGTGCAGAAGTGACCCAAACAAATATACACACAACGATGGCAAATCTTAATAACAGAAAGATATGAATAAAGATGAAAAGAAACACACACCACAAGACAAGATTTATACGTGGTTCACCCTCACAAATAGGGTTACGTCCACACACAGGCGATGATGATCCGTATCATTATACAGAAGAAGATTACAAATTGAAGAACGTTTTGGTTCTTCTAGACAATAATCCCTCTTCTCACAATCAAACGTCACCCACCAAACGAAGAAAAACTCACTGAAGGCTCTCAAGAAAAATCCCCAATAATTATATGGTTTACATAAAGAAGAAAACCCACCCAAAGACAAACTTCAATTATCTCTCTTGAAGATTGCACACAAAAGGATTTCTTCACACAAAAAACCAATAGAACTTATTATGACTCTACCCTCTTAATTAGAATCTCTTTGTGGGATCTCTAAAGCATCTTTTCGGGATCTCTAAAGCATCTTATCGGGATCTCTATCTTTTACTGCAAGTTATGACTAATTTATAGGCCAAAGTTGCCGCCTTTGGATACCTGACTTGTCCCTGGCACAAAGCAATTCATTCCTTATCAATTGCTTTCCTTAAAGTTTGCTTATTTCCTTATCAAACCCTTAGCTTGAGCATTAGGCCATCCACACGGCCATATAATTGACCACCACAATTGTATCATTCAAATGAAATTCTTCCAAAATCCCAACAATCTCCACCTTGGCAAAATATATCCACCTTGACACAAATGATAAAGCACCACCATAAAGAGACTTTCTCCACCACAACATGAGTAATAATCATAAAAAAATGCCATCATCATCGCCATCGAAAAAATTGTTGAAGAATTTTAGTTAAGTTTGAGTCCTCCTCAAACGTAACCCTTGGGATCTCCTTCTTTAACCCAAACACGTCTTACGCAGCCACAAACATGCCTCCAATATTCTTGTAAAACTCTAAATACTTATCAAAAGCATCCTCAGAAACTCTAAGTTTGACATCTCCTCTGGCAACCTTCGCCAACTGCCCACAAACTGTCGATTGGTAATGAAAAGTCATCTTCTCACCCTTGTGGAGAATAGGACGTCCCTGACTTTCCCTCGCATCACTAATGTGATCAACTACTTGTTTCCCACGCATTTTAATAGCACTCAAATGGGCTATGTTATTCTCACCAAGATTGTTACAAGTTATCACCACATCTGTCCTCATGGGTCTGCCTCCTTGTAAGGACTGCTGCAATTTCTGTTACCATCTGAAAACGGATTTCATTCACCCATAACGTTGCGTAGCTCCCTCATAACCCTTTTGAGAACTAAGATCGTCTATCTTCTCTGTAACTCCTTTTCCAAGACCCAAATGCAGATTTCTGCTCACTGTAGAAGACCCCATAATAGCTCCATTTGTTACTGTATTCCCTTAGAGAATATACAAGTTTCCCACCTTGATTCCTTGTAACACCACAAGAGAACCCATCACGACCCACATAACCCCACCCTCTGTTACAACCTTGTAACCTTCGCTGTCTAGCACACCTACTGAAATAAGGCTCTTTTTCAGATCAAGTACATGTCGCACACCTGACAATGTTCTTACGAACCCATTTTGCATTTTCCATTTCCTAAAATTTTGAAGGCTTTTCCATCAACTGTCAAAATAAAACCACATTTCACCTATTTGTAGAAGGAGAAAAAATCCCTATTGGGACATAGATGAACATAACAACCCGAATTAAGAATCCAACTGCCATTAAATGACATACTTGAACATAAGGGTCCTATGAGAACATAATCATCATATTCTGAATCACTTGTTGTAGCAACTACCACAAAAGCTACCTCTTGAACCTTCTCTTTGCCATTCCCATTCTTTGCCTTCTATTTGAGACAATGCATAATGATGTGTCCTAACTTATGACAGTAGTAACATTTCTTGTCCTTGTAATTCCTTGATTTGGACCTAGAGTTATTTGAATCTGTGCCTCGATTTTCTGTCCTCCCCCTTGCAGCTAAGACTGTGGCCTCTCCGTCTCTGTCAATCTCGGACACTTTTCTCCGATTCTCATGAGAGAGAAGTGTTGATTTGACCCATCCAGGACTACGGTCTTCTTCCCATATAACATAGTAGTCACCAAGTGATTATACCTCGTGGGAAGAGAACCGAGACTTTGTCTTCGCCATCCATTTTTACCTCCATGTCTAATAGTTCCGAGAGAAGCCTATTAAACTCGTTGAGGCGGTCTTGCACCTTCATGCTGAAACGGTAGAACTTTTTCTTGAGATTGATCCGATTTGTAAGCGACTTTTCCAAATAGAGTTTTTCAAGCTTTTCCAAAATCTCCTTTGCTGACATCTCTGTCATCACGTTATGTTTGATCTCCTTTGACAAACACAATCGGATCGTGGAACAAGCTTCCATAGAAAGTTTTTCCCATTCGTCTTTCTTCATTGGATCAGGATTATCATCCAAGGTTTTTATCAAACCTTCCTTAACAAGAATATCCTTCACTTCAACTTGCCACATCCCAAAGTTGTTCTTACCATCAAATTTCTCAACTTCATATCTTATGGATTTGGAGCCATCCCAAAAGACCCTAGTTTGCAACCTAGACTCTGATACCACTTGTTAGGCACAATGGAAGCTTCTGACACCAATCTGTTGTGCAACAACGGAAACCTCTGATACCAATCTATTGTGCAAAAGTGACCCAAACAAATATACACACAACGATGGCAAATCCTAATATCAGAAAGATATGAATAAAGATGAAAAGAAACACACACCACAAGACAAGATCTATACATGGTTCACCCTCACAAATAGGGTTACGTCCACAGGCGATGATGATCCGTATCACTATATAGAAGAAGATTACAAATTGAAGAACGTTTTGGTTCTTCCAAACAAGAATGACTCTTCTCACAATCAAACATCACCGACCAAAAAAAGCTCACCGACCGCTCCAAAAAAAAATCCCCAATAATTATATGGTTTACATAAAGAAGAAAACCCACCCAAAGACGAACTTTAAATATCTCTCTTGAAGATTGCTCAAAAAAGGATTTCTTCACACAAAAAACTAATATAACTTATTCTGACTTTACCCTCTTGATCAGAATATCTCTCCGGGATCTCTGAAGGATCTCAGCGGGATCTCTATCTTTTATTGCATGTTATGCCTAATTTATAGGCCAAAGTTGCCGCCTTTGGAATTTGGATACCTGACTTGTCGCTAGCACAAAGCAATTCATTCCTTATCAATTACTTTCCTTAAAGTTTGTTTATTGCCTTATCAAACTCTTAGCTTGCGCATTAAGCCATCCACACGGCCATATAATTGACCACCACAATTGTATCATTCAACCAATGAACTTCTGCCAATATCCCAACAACACCTTCCAGTAGGGTAGCAATAAGTTGGATAGCTTCATCCTTAGAAGCTTGGATCAAATCCAAACAATCTTAGCATACCCGAGTTGAATATATATTGTCAAGATTCAAATAACAAAAATTTATATGATTGGTATTGGCCATCAAAAAAACTCAATGAGCTGAGTATACTCAATGGACTGCTAACATTATGCCTTCAGATTGCCTCCTTCCTATTTAATTTAGGGATTTGCTGATTGTATATTGAGCCTTTTATTGAATTGAACAATACGAATTGCTAATCAATAGCCATATTTAAAACTTTGAAAGGAAAAGAAAAAAGAAAACAAAAGAAGGATTCAACTTGATTGTTGGGTAATTTATGTTTTGCCTGCAAAATTCGTTTTACTGGCTGCAATAATAAGGATGGAGATAGCATTGTAATTAGCCATGCATATTGAGGCTTATTTTTTGAGCCCTCAAGTTTGTCAACTCTACCTTTTGTATCCATTTTATTTTCTTTTACTTTTTCAACATACATTTCAATAACTTTTAGCTGCTTGTAAGCTTGTTCCTCCAAAGTAGCTGTTGGTGATGCTATTTGCATGTGTCCCGCTTTCACATTGTTAATGTTATGTATGCAAAATAATGCTTTTTAGAAATGTGATTACTTACTTATATGTTGTTTGGTGACTTTGGTCATTGATTGAAGATGAGAATTTTTGAAGAACATATTTCGGATTTTTAAACACCCAGGTCTTGAAGGTAGGGGTGGGACTTGGGTGGGCCTAACCCAAGTTCCGTCCGAAAATTTTACGAGCATGGGGTACTTAGACAATGGATTGGGACTGAGTTTAAATATTGGAGCCTGAGTTTATTTTAGGCAGTATTTGAGCAAATGTTTTACTAACCCGAACAACTCGAGGCACCCGAAATACAAGAAAAGTCTAATTTTTTATTATATTTTAAGGTTATACATTGTTTATGTAAAAAAAAGCTAAATTGTATGGTTTATAGTGCTGCAGGTATTAACCTAACTTTGACATGCTTGCCATAAATTGTTAAAGTAAAAATTTATAATAATTGAATTTTAGTTAAAGAAACATTCTTGTTACCAAAATGTTAAAAAACACAAATAGTTCACTTAAATATATTAGGTAATCTTATTTCTATTTTAAAATTTTGGAAACATGTTCTCAAAAGGCTCAATTTTTAGGAACAAAAAAAAGTTGTTTCTACTTATTTTTCACCAAAACACAGGAAGTATGTTCCCAACTTATACGCATGGGCAGACATCTTCGTTTATAGATCTCTCCTCACCCTTTTTAACTCGCTCCATTCTCTCTTCTTTTTCACGGTCTCTATGTGAAGACCCTTCTTCTTTCGCCTCTCATTCATGATCTTCTGCAACGAAGGACAACCCATAGATTGAGAAAGTAGATTTTTTATATGTCCTGCAGATTGCAGTTGGAAAAAATTATAAAGGCAGCCAAGCCCCAAACAATTTTCTATCTCCAAATTGCCTCTTCCCTCTTTCCCTCTCTAACTTTTTTCATGGAAGATACTGCTAGCATATCAAAATTCCAGCAATTCTTGTTCGTAGTTTCAGTTCATAATAATAGGCTAAGCAATATCACAGTCTAATGGAACAAATTTGAAGAGATCCTCCTCGCAATGGCCTCATCCAGGATTCTAATTTCCTTCTCTCCTGTTCGCTTCAATTCCCATATATTGAATTAATACTCTTTGAAATCTCATATATATGAAAATTTTCAGAATTCGATATTACATTCTGCAAATTTTTCCAGAAAGACATATACATATATATACATACCATACATATATATGTATATATATAGAACTAGAGGTAGGTAGAGAGAGATCGAGAGTAACGTTCTTTTGGAGGTAGGCCATGAGCTGGTCGGTACTCTTCAAATTCAAACCACCTCCATTTCTTGTCTTATTGTTTTCATTCTTCATTACTTAATACTGCCTGCCTTATTTAATTCAAGAAACCCTTGGGTTCTAGAACTCTATTGTTATTATTTTATGCGAGGAGTGTATTATATGCACTATTATTATTTTTTAAATGATTTTATATGAGTAAATTTTTATTTTTCATTTTTTATTGCTAAAAGCTTTAAAAAATCAAAACAATGGATTGGGTCCTCATTATTTACCAAATATGTTACTGATTTACTGTTTATAAATTCAAGAAACAAATGAATGTTACCAAACATTGAACAATTTTAAAAAACTACAAAAGAACTAGAAAATAAGAAACACAAAAACGTAAACGTTATCAAACGACCCCATAAGATTGAGTTCTTTCAAAATTATATTCTCACAAGTTTTAATCACCCGAAGTCTCAAAAACAAGAGATGATTGGTTTTATTTCATGTCATGTGTATATAGTTACATACTTCAACATTTTATTTTTTGTAATGTTTATTATCAATAGGTTATTAAAACTTTGGATGACCTGAGAAACCCAAAAACCCATGAAACCTCCGCGGTATGGCGTGAGTTGAGATGCAATGGGTTTCTTGGGACTTTGGCTTGTCGCGGGCTGAGGTGCTAGAACCTTGGGTCTAGCGTGGGCTAACCCCTTGGCCCCTGCCCAAGTCCCACCCCTACTTGAAGGAGTTTGAGAGTAGGTTTTAGTGTCTTCTCAATTCTGCTTTTTAAAATGAGTTGGCTGCAAATATTTTCTACATCGATTAAAGGGATGTCTAAAAGCTTTAGCGGTGTAGCTTTAATATTTATTCCCTATATCCTCTAACACCACATTACCCTAGACATCTGAGCTTTTAGAGTGTGTGTAACTTTATTATTTATATTCTCCAACACCCTATTACCCCTATTATCTGTTTGTTCACCGTTAACAAGGTTTATAGATCAATATATATTATCAACAATTACCTAGGGTGTTGCCTCTTGATACACGTGTATGCTCAATTGGTTGCAATTTGCAAGGGAGGGGCAGTGAAGGTGCCAGACTTGATTAATATTTCAGACAAGATAATAGATTACACGACTATGTTGCATTCTTATCTTTGTGTGACAAATATAAATGCGCGGTGTTCGGGGAATTGTTGAGCAATATGTTCTTTTTTTCAATATACCTGTCATGCAAAATATGATGTCATTCACTGACTTTATTCAGCAGTGCTAATTTCCTCTTGTGAACTGGTATTGATTAATATTATTTGTTTCCTTAGGTGTTGTGAAGTCCCAGCGATCTATATGGAGGTTGAGAACAATCACTGATTTCTTCTGGGCTATCGTTAACTTCATTGGCGTATTTTTTGCAACAATGTTTTCGGTAATTTTGAGTTTCCATATTTTAAATCCTCACTTGCTTTTAGTTAAATACTTAATTCCTATGCATTTAATTATTTCAGATGGAAAAATCGGATGATTACAAAAAAGGCTCAGGTTCTGGCAAGAAATGGGATGATGGCGGTTCAGGAGGTCCTGGAAGAGGTCCATATGGTGGTGGTCCACGTGGGCCACCTCGTGGATTAGACAATGTTCGAGGAATTGACCATAGTAAGTTGCTAATTTCTTTATAGATTTTCTGTTTCTAATGTTTGTTTTTCAAATTATATATAATTAAAAATTTCTTGCACTAAACTTATAGGTTCTCTTCCTGCCTGTGGCTCCTGCTGTGGAGGCTAAAGAGCTGGAGCCTGGAGATACCTCTGTCATGTATGGCTGAGTCTGTTGAATGCTTTTTTATGTGAATAATCTACAAATAGAATTGTGGAATGCATGTTTAACACAAACATTAAAAAAGGAAAAAGGAACTGTCATTTATTAGATATATTGAGCGTGTGACTTTCACATATATTTTAGTGTTCTCTTGAACTTTTTCTTTGCTTCTACTCATTAAATTTCTTCTTCAGTTTGTCTGTCTTAGTGGTAAGAATGAAGGGTCTGTTGTTCTCTGAGATGTCTACCCGTTTAATCACAAATTAGCAGTTGAAATTGCTGTGTACATGACAGTTGTCTTAGTCTCGCGCAACTCCCATACCCTAGTTCGTAAAACCCAGAGGGTTTTCATTAATACTCTTTTCTGAAAGCTTGCAATTTTATAGCCACTGCTGAGTTTGAGATTTTTTATTTATTTATTTATTTTTTAATTATTATTATTATTATTTTATTGTTGTTGAACATGGTTCAGAAGCTTGATATTACATTGAATGTTTACTTGCCCATATTGACGTCGGTAGTGCATTTGCCTCATCTGTTCATGGAAGTTGTTCAGCTGAGACTGGAAAAGTATGTATATTTATATATATGTATGTACATGAGTAGCAAAAAACCATGTCTAGTCAACTTTCATTGTACTGTGCCCGCCAAAGAGCAACTCTTCTCAAAATCTCACTCAGTAGGTGCTGAGTTGGAATCCCATTACGGAGGATCCCACTACAGTTGGAATCCCATTCTATGTAAGGATTCTTGTGGTTTTGGAGGATCCAGCTACAGGAGAACTAGGACCGGAGATTTCTCCCCTCTTTTCCAACGAACTCTTGGGTCTTGGTCTTGAGAACACTGGTTTTAAGAATGAGTGATTGCCCTTCTCCAACAAGTGAATGAGTGATTGCCCTTCTCCAACAAATGAATATAAGCGACAAGAAATGAAGTCTAATTTTAGGATGACTGACACTTCTAATCCGTTTCATAGAATGTCTTTTTCAGGAGTTAAAGGAAATGCATCTCAGGTACATCAATTAGCAGGCACGAGAGGATTAATGTCTAGGATCCCCAAGGACAGACGAAAGATTTTCTGGACCCTTAAGAGTTATTTGTTTCAATTGACTTTGGATGATTACCATAGGTTACACAATTATATCTTGAGAGTAAAAGGTTATTTATTTCATTAGGTCATATCTATTATATGTTACCATTTAATTAGTCGGTGATGCATATCATTAATATTGAAGAAAGATTGAAGTATTTTTTGGTCTAGCTTCGGTGGTGTCCTGTGGTTATAGGACCTAGGGTTGGAAGTTTCCTTTCTAACTGGGACAATATCCTCATTTGTAGTGATCCATGATCAGAAGCATGCCTTCCTTGGCCGTTTGATTTTGATCAGAACAGTTTTTTATTGATTTTGATCAGAACAGTTTTTATATATTTTGGTAAGTGAAAGAAGGAAAACAGAGTACTAGGCACGGCTACATATTGAGAACACGCCATCCTATATTTTCTATTTAAATATCTTATTGACTATAAATAGAGAACTGCCATTGAGAGCTCATCATGACAAGTGTCATGTACTTTCCATATTTAACTACAAAATTGAAAAATATAATAAATTATTTATTTTATTTTTTATATATCTCAAAAAATTTGTACCAATCCAATAATATAATAGGGACAGCTCAGCTAATGACTCTTGTTGTCTTGATAGCAATACTCAAATAACAAATAAAAAATATTTGAAGCGTAGAGAAAACCACCTCAATGGTATTCACACAAAACATAGAGAAATGTTAAATAACCTGGGTACCTATTATGTAGTATTCAGCGACCAATAAATATTCATTATTTTCCTAAATACTTTATCTACTATAATCGAGTCCTACTCTAGTCGTATTGTACTAAAAACAGTCCTTTCGGATATTTTATGATAACGTAATCCAAACGAAAAGTCGATTTGTAGCATAAAATGGGGAGAGTGAGCAGAAACTCATCCGAGTCCTGTTAGTTTGCTGAATCAAGGGGGGTAATTATGATGTCTCACATTGCTTAGAGGAAGAAGTTGTTGAGACATATATGTGTAGATATTTTTTAACTGTATAGACGTCTTTTAAGAAAAATAGTTAGTGTTATCCAAGAATTAACTCTAGAGTGGGTGAATTGAGTCAATGACTAATTTTTGCAATTTATAGATTTATAATTTCTAATCAACATTTTAAGCAATTATGCAATAATCAAGATATGAAAGTAAATAATTAATAGTACAATTATAAAAGAGATTAGGGAAGAGAAATTGCAAACAATGACTTAGCGATTTTAGCGAGGTTCGGAAACTTTACTCTTTGGCTTAAGACCCCTCTTGAGACTTCCTAGTCCACTGTGGCTTTTCCTTACGAGTGGAGAGCAAACATTTACATGAAGTAAGACCTTGTTTCTTTTCTTTGCTAAGAGAACAAACTTCTCCTAGTCTTTCTTTGGATCACACCAACCCGGTGGGTCAAACCAACCCTTTACAATTGATTGTAATAAGAACAATGAAGTAAAAGAAATCTCTCAAAGATAGATGGACAAATTTCAGCTCACAATTAGAGTATATATGAATATATATTAAACTCAATACTCTATGAATGAGAGAAGATGATATAAGTGAAGAACAAAAACTCTTATATACTTAATAGAATCTCTCAAGAGTATAATGAGGAAAAACTCTATGAAGATTCGAACAAGAACAAAAATCATTTTAATCATTAATTGAATCTCTCAAGTTTTATATATGAGTAATATGAATGAGAGAGGATGAGAAAATGAAGAACAAAAGCTCTTTTAATGCATTCTAATGTTTCTCATATAAGTTTACAATGTAAATAAGGAAGTACCCCCCCATTTGGATTTAATAAAAAATATAAGAAAATTGAAATCCAACTAAATTAATATGTGAAAATTCAGTTTTAGTACAAATTGGGATTCCCGAGAGTTTTGGTAAATCTTGATTCTCCGTGTAGGACAATGTAAAATGGATAATAAATTCTCATAAAATCACATTAGGCTATTTGAAGTGTAAGGAGTAATTACCGGGAAAAATTATCTTGAAAAAATATTTACTTTAAAAATTCATTTTTCACACTTAGCCAAAAACTTAGTTTTTCATGAGGCGTATATAAGGGTCCTATAGTCTGTTACCAAGTTATGGTAATAAAAGGTTTATAGATGAGTAATTAAGTTTTAAGCCTTAGACTCTACTTTTTAGAGACCAAAATAGATCATTTGATTGATGTGCATGGTCCTAGCATTTCTAGCTCAAGTGTTGAGTTCTTTCAAAGTTTATGTAAGCTTGAACTAACTCATTCTTTAGTAATGACTTTATATGTCAAATATATATGATGAAGTTCATAGCCTATTGTTAATGGATATAGGAACTCATGAATGATAATGATGATATGCATGATCCTATACAGATGAGCTTAAAATGGATTCATAAATACTTTGACATTGAGTCATAAACACTCACCATCTTATCTACCCCTTTCTTCATGCTTTGTCCATGATCGTATATATTTTGAGGTATTCTTGATTTTTTCCTTTATTTAAGTTACTTGCTTGTTCATTATTGTCTAAATTATCTTTGGATGGACTTTGCATTTAGTTCCTTACAACTTCATGTTTTCTTTATATCCATTGCTTTACTTGATGTGATCTTGAATAACGGAATACTTGAAATGATCTTTATAGCTTCATTGAGGTCATTCTTTGAATGTGAATAATCTATAGCACTCAAGGTAAACATTAATCCTTAAACAGCCCATTAATGGTTTTTATTCATCAAAACAACTAGACTGTCCTTGGATGAAATCCTTAAGGTCAGCAATCTCCCCTTTTTTGATAACGACAAAACATTGATGTATTCATAAGCAAGTGGAGTGGTATTTGAAAAATGACCCCCTATCAAACTGCATATAATGAACATAATGTCATAAAATAGCATGCTTGTTCTTTCTATATTCATTTTAGACATTTACATGCAATTAAGATCATTTTAAGCTTCAAGAGTGTTGACACCCATTTTGGTAATTAGGCTTGGACTACAATTAGCCTGATGAACAGTGACGTGGCAGAGGTTTTGGCCGTAAGAAGATACTGGGCTGAAGAAATAATGTAATAAGTTTGGGCTAGAAGACATTTTTACTCTACATGAACTGAACAATAGACTTGGACTGTGGTTGGGACAGCAATGATGTAGTTAGAAGAAGATTGAGTTTTGCATAGATTCTGTGCAAAAACGTTACAGATGGAATTGGATTGGATAAGTTGAAGTAACAAATAGATAGGAAGTGTAGTGATAATGTATACCAAGTGGTTTATTTATGTTTGTGTTTATCGATGGATTTAGATTTTGTTTGAAATTAGTAATTAGTTATTTGATAGAGTTTGATGTATTTAGAATGCTTATGCATAGGAGTTTGTTTTATGAATTATTCTATAAATAATGAAAGAGGCATGTTGAGATAGAGGCCCAGTACCATCAGAATCATTTTAATATTGTTATTGTTTTCTCAAGCCTTTCCTAGAATAACATCCTTACTATTTTTTCTCTATCTCTATCTCTCTCTCTCAATATCTCGTTCTATCTCTCTCTCTCTCTCAATCTTTCTCTCTATATTTCTTTCTATATCTATTTCTTTCCCCTTTCTATTCTCAAAACGTTACTATAAATTATTCATTATAAAAATCCTTTTAATTAAGGCAATTCTTGAACTAAAAGAGGAGTTTTACTATTCTCTTTATCCTCGCATCGTCTGAAAGTCAACCTTCCCAAAGATACTACAGTTGACTATTTAACCTCGAACCATATAATTGGTTCTGGCACGCCCGTATTACATCAATTCTGAATCGAATCTTAGGAGTCGATTTTAGCGTCAACATTCTTGGCGCGCCCGGTGGGACCCCACTAGGTGAGTAAATTATAGTAACTATGCCTCCTAGGCTAAGAAATTTGAAAGGTGTGTGTACAGGTGATAACACTGATGAAGAAAACTAGCAAATTGGCATAGGCGATGAAGTCGATTCATCTATTCCATCCAACATTCCTTTGGGTCGGGTATTGGAAGCAATCATGCAGAAATTTGATAGCTACTAAGCTCAGATCAGCGAGGTAAAGTCCCAAATGGGGGAGTCACATCAAATGTTGATTTCTCAAATACAGGAGATGAAGTCAATGACCGGGGAGTTAAATCAAATGGTGTTTGCTCAAATACATGAGATGAAGCAGAAACTTGAAACTAGTATATCGGCTAATCAAAGCCGACATAATCAAGCTGAAACATCCCACGCTAATGAATCCATATTTCAACGTATTTTGGCACCATTGATACATATATCTCAAGGGCCTTGAACAGCATCAACAGGCATCGTACCGCCAAACGCAACTCTCGGCATCACAATCGGCAATGTGCCGAACCCTACTATCGGCATGCCGATTGGTAATCCACCGATATTATCAGATCCACCGGCAATAACTACTGTGCCGGTGTATCAGCCACCAGTAAATCTTCAACAGAATCAAAATGTGCAATGCCCACATATGCAGCCGATTCTTCCTTTAAGAGATCAGCAAGAGTTGGGCAACCAGAACCAAGGTAGGGTTAATCCATTGGTACCATCGGCGGCTGCTGGGGGGGGGGGGGGGGGCATGTAAATGCAAATCTACAACGAGAATGGGTAAACTCATTTGTTCCACTTCACCCAAATGATCCTCCAGACCAAAATACGGGGATCGGTAGGGCTCAAATTCTAGCTTTAATACAGGCTGAGGTAGCACAGGGACACAGACGTGCTCAGCCAGTATACAGAAAGCCTTGTCCTGATCATGTTGATGCCCACGAGTTACCCAGAAATTATCGGTATCCCAATTTTTCTATGTATAGTGGTGAAGAGATTTTTTCTATGGTGTAGCACATTGCAGGGTTCACAGCACAATGTGGTGAAACAGGTCCCAATCCTTGGTTGAGGATGAGGTTATTCTTTAGTCCTCTCGCTGGAGCGGCATTTAAATGGTATAGTAATTTACCAATTAATTCTATTCAGACATGGGATGAAATGGAAGAAGCTTTCCATACTCAATTCTACCGAACAGAGACAGAAGCTACGCTGACAGATATATCTCGATTATCTCAGTTGCCGAGCGAATTGGTTGAAACTTTTGTGGCCAGGTTCAGAAAAGCTAAAATCAAATGTCGAGTAAGTTTTCCAGAACCAGAATATATCAAGTTGGCATTAAATGGTTTAGACATTGAACATCGCAAGAGGTTTGATGGGGTTGAATTTCAAGATCTCTTCGATTTAGCAGACAGGGCCACTCGGTATGAGGAGATACTTAAAGAAGAGAAAGAAAGGAAGAATTCCTCTAAAGGTACTTACTACAAAGACCTTAATTATGAGGTGTTCTCCGCAGAAGTTGGTGATGAATTAGAAGCTAACGTTGCTTAGGTCAATATTAAGAAGCCATACATCTGTGAGGCATTGATCAAACCTAACCGGGGGTAATGTAACATCAACATCGGCAGTAAGGAAAGGAGCTGCCGATATTGGGAAAATCTACTCTTTTGACTTATCAAAAACAGATCAAATCTTTGATCACTTGATGACCGATAAAATGATATCTTTGCCTAAGAGGCATAAGATTCCATCGGCAAGTGACCTGAAAGGGAAAGAGTATTGTAAGTATCATAACTCTTGGAACCATGCTACTAATGATTGTACTGTTCTATGAGGTGTATTGCAGAAAGCTATTGATGAAGGTACTTTAAAATTCCCGGAGAAAACTTCAGACATCATGAAGGTGGATACCAATCCATTCCCTATAATCACATCTACTAATGTAATAAGCTTAGCCAAGCGAGAAATCCGGCAGGAGGCTGAGAAGATGTCAGGTGAGTTCCCTTTATCAAATGCGACACCAGAAAAGATGGCAGAATTGTAGAAACAATTAAGAGAGGCTCAATTAGTCCTGATAGGCCATGGCTGTTGCCCAAATTATAAGGGAAAACAGAAACCTAAGGAAGAAGAGCTAATGGAGGTTCAACCGAGGAGGAAAGAAATTCTTGAGAGGCTTACATTCCCAATTAAGCCCGGTGAAGAGCCTCGGAAGGATGATTCCAGCAGCAGTCATGTGAAGGCAGAAAAGCAGGATCGGTAAGAATATATATCTAGCCGATTCCATTCCTAGTATCGGCATCCCAGTTTTAAACGGCTCTCGCCTGTCCAATTAGAAATTTAGGTACAAAAGGGAGTCGATTCACATAAAGTACGAACTGTAAGACCAAGGACAGACATGGCCGAGGATAGATTGACTCGAGTCAATCACCCAAAATTCCCTAAAGTTCAACAATATCAGAGTAGAGGCCCTACTCGATCTTAGAAATGCAGGGAACAAAGGAGTAGGGCCGAGAAGAAAAGGAAAGCAGAAAAGGTGGGCCAAGAGAAGTTGGCTGAGCAGGTTAGTATTCCATATAAAGATCAACCGGATGAGGTAGAAGAGCATCAGCCGAAATGGCCCAGACGCAAAAATGAGTTTAGAAATCAGTTTGGCAGTTTCCCAGATAAAATGTCGTATAAAATGGCATTCGTATTACCAGCAATGTTTTAGGCCCCATCGGCATCAATTGAGAGTACTGAAAAGAATGAGGAAGCAGAAGGTAAAGGTAATGTCAAGGAGAAAGAAACTCAGCCAATTCAGAATTTATCAATTCTTTCTTCAGAATCGGAGAGAAAGTAATCTTTGAGAAACCTTTGCTTGCAATGCCTTAACAATTAAGGCCTTTGTATGTGAAGGTATGGGTAGAAGGCCAACTTGTTAACCGAGTCTTGGTTGACAATGACTCGGTTCTGAATGTTATCCCAGCTAATACGTTGAAGAAACTTAGCAAGAGTATGGAAGATGTTATTCCCACTGATGTAACAATTTGTAGATTTAATGGAGGTTCTACCAGTACTAATGGAATTCTTCCGTTAGAAGTTGAAATTAGAGGAAGAACGTCCTTCACGACATTTTTTATCTGCGCTTCATATAATTTGTTATTAGGCCATGGTTGGATTCATCCAAATATGTGCATTCCATCATCATTACACTAGATGCTGATTTTTTGGGATGGAGACAAGGTGAAAATAGTGAATTGTGGCGAAGGTTTATTCGGCAGATGCTATTTTGTATGACGAGGAGTGTGTTCCTATTAGATTTGTGAGAACAAGAGCCGATGGAAGACCTATATCGGTAACTATGAGAAGAAGTCTTGCTGATCGTGAAATCGGCGAGTTACGACAGGAAAATTCTAGGCCGAAGGTAGAATTCCCTCGGCTTGCTATGATTGAAGAAGAGGTTGCTAATGGAGGCAAAACTTGAAAGAGAAGCAGCTCGACAGTAGGCCTTTAGGGCCGTTTGCATTAGGTTACAAAGCATATATAGCCGAAAAAGGGCTAGAAAAGGAAGCAAAAATAGAGCTATTACCATCGGCTAATGTCGCCGAAGTTAAACAAATCGATAATGAAAGTTAGATGCTATTCAACTAGAAGACTTGGAATTGGCACCAGCTAAACTTGATGACCTTAAAGCAAAAACTCAAGATCCATTAAGGGAGGTGAATTTAGGTACTGATGCAGAGCCTAGACCAACCTACATTAGTGCACTGTTAGCACCAGAATTATAAGTCGAGGTGATCGGCATGTTAAAGGAATACAGTGACTGTTTGCTTGGAATTATGAGGAAATGCCGGATTCATCCAGAGATTTGGTGGAACATCGGTTGCCCATTAAAGATGGCTACAAGCTATATAAACAGCCGCTTTGCCGAATGTCTTAAGAGGTGGTAGATAAAGTCAAAGTGGAAATTAAACGATTGTTGGATGCTGGTTTCATCCAAATTACAAGGTATGTCGAGTGGCTATCAAATGTAGCTCCTGTTATTAAGAAGAATGGCAAATTACAAATATGCGTTGATTTTTGAAAAATAAACTCGGCAACCCCAAAAGATGAGTATCTTATGCCGATAGCCGATCAATTGATTTATGTGGCTACCAAGCATGAAATCATGTCTTTTATGGATGGACACTCAGGCTATAATCAAATTTATATAGCTGAGGAAGATATCCCAAATACAGCTTTCAGATGTGTAGGATCAATTGGAACTTTTGAGTAGGTAGTAATGCCTTTTGGATTGAAGAATGTTGGTGCTACATATCAACGAGTTATGAATTCTATTTTTCATGCTATGCTCGGCAAGTTTATGGAAGTATATATTGATGATGTGGTAGTAAAATCAGTAACAAAAAAGGATCACTTGGTTCATCTTAAAGCATCTTTTGAGAGAATGAGGGCTCATAAGTTAAAAATGAATCTAATAAAGTGTGCCTTTGAAGTATCGGCAAGAAAC